ACCGAGAAGGTCCAATCTCCACCTGTTTAAGGAGCAGATTGAAACAGCAGAACCTCCCCTGGATCCTATTAAAACGTTTTCCTCCTAAGGCCATTCAGTCGAACCAATTTTCCGAAGTGATTCATAGAGCTGAATTCTGCCAAGGCAGCTCTTTCACTTTTGGCCACTAAAGCACCGCGTGGAACCGGGTTTTGTGTTTTTCTAAAATAAAGAGAAGGATTATCAGAGGGGAGAGGGAGGGAGCCCGAAGGGGGGCGGCGGAGACTTAGTGTGGCCAGAGGTACAAGCAGAGGGAAGAAAGGGCCCTTTTCCAGACAGGCCCCAAGTAAGTTCGGAGGAATTCAGCGTTTTGTGCCTGGCGCACAAAAGCAACGCGCTCTGCGCTCGGTTTGGAGGGGCTGAATTCGTGTTTGCAGACCGCTCCACCTGCGTATCACAACAAACTGCTCGGGGACGCTCCAGCGCTTGCCGCGGGCCGGGTGCTCTGGGCGACAACAAAAGTGGTCGAGACCGAGGGTCCTCGTGGGGGAGGGGCGAGCGAGAGAATTAGGGTTAGGGAAGGAAGCGGTGCCGGGGTTTTGAAAACTTTTGGCAGGTTTTGTTCGCCGGACAATTATATCTTGACGGCCGGCTTTTGCGAGACTACAAGCCCTGTAGCCGCAGCCGCAGTTTAAGAGGATTACGGTGGGTATAGTATGATATGAGCAAACAGGGTTGAGGGCTCGACAGTGAGCTCCAGAAATAGTGCAGGTGGAGGTGAGCCCTCTTCTCTGCTCAGGAATAGGTCTTGAAGGGCCGAGTGTCCATGCCACCCCAGGCCCTGCGTGCTACAAGACATCCCCAAAAAACAACCCTCGTAGGACGGGGCAAGGAGAGCTCTAATTTTAACCACAGGCAGGGACTCCCTTTTCCCTGCAGAATTTCTCCTTCCTACCCCGTCCAGCTGCGGCTCCTCGGACAGGCTACTTCAGACCAGACAGGGTGAGGGCAGGAGCCAGAAAGTGCACTGGGACAGCACCGAGAGCAGAGCAGCCAGAGGTCTCTGAGGAAGTGGCTGGGGGGGGGGCAAGGTTAATGCCCCACCCTGCCAAGCTCTGCAACTGCCCCCCAATTCAGCAGTCCCAGATCTGCTACCCCCTTCTAGATCTCTGAGCTAGACAGCTTGCCAACCTGGGGGAGAGCAGTCCACATAGTCCGTGTCACTCAGGGCAGAGCAGACGGAGTTCTGGACCCCTGCACCCCTCCCCAGGTCGGTGTGGACTCAGAGCACTGGTGTCCCCCTCCCCGGCAGAAGTCTAGCTAGCACCCCAACCTGGACACACATCCACACACCGCACCTCTCAGAGCGGAGTCCCCAGCCCTGCTTTCCTGAGGATCCGGTCTGCCACCATCACTGAACCCCAACCGGAGTTCCAAATTGGGTAATTGCCGGTCTGCGTGGCAGCTGAGAGAGGGCTGGTTCGAAAGCTGCATCGGGCTGGAAGGCTCCGGAGGGCTTCCCACGAACCTGCCTCGCCGTCCCGCTGCCGGCTTGTCTGCAGAGCCCTCGCTCTGCCCCAGCCTCACAAAGGAGTGCTACCTCCACAAAAAGCAAACATTTGGGTAAAAACAAGTTGCCCCTAATGTGCCTCTCCTTCCAAATGTTGGGTGAATACACTGGCTTTTATGAAAGTATTTAATTAGCTTCCACAAACTTCTTCCCTCGCCCGCAGATTATACTGAAGTGGAGGGTTGGAAACTATTTTACACCTTGCCACTCACATGTTAATTAATCTCTATCTAACCCTAATTGCAGTTGATTCAAGCTCCGCTCAACAGCTCACCCACACAGTAAACACTGATCCTACTTTTATACATATTACTTCACGTTAACACATTGAATAATTAACTCCAGTACCAACTAATAGTGCAAACAAATATTTTCTGTAAACGAGATGATTTCAGGCAGAATAATAGAAGACTTGGGAACCGTGGCGAACAGTGGGGGGAAGGCTGTTTCCCATTCGCTGCCCCCACCCTCCAAATTCGGCCTCCTGGGAAGCATGAAGGGCTGAGATGCCTTTTTACATTTTGAAAGGACCGTAGAAATGAAAACCTCCCAATTTTGGGGAGTTAGTGGAAGGGATGATTCTGAGTGGAGGGAGCGTGCCCAGTAACGTGACATGCAGGCCAACGGGAGGCTTCGGGCAGGCGCACAGATTTTCCAGGGGTGTAGTTCCATTCATGGAACCTAAAGTTCCCCAGAGCTTCCAGCTCTAAGGAAGCCCTGCCCCGCAAAGCGACCGCTTTCCAGCACAGTGGGCCAGCTGGTGGGGCCTTCTGGAACTCCAGCTTCTCTCCGGAGCAGGCAGGTGTGCAGGCTCACGCCGCGGGCCCTGGAACCGCCCTGGAAGCGTCCACCTGCAGCCCTAGGCCTCAGCTCCAGGCCTCTTGCTGGGAAGGCCCCAGCCAAAGGCCGGGCGCTTTGCCTTCGCTGCCATCTGGCCTTCGCTGGGGCCTCAGCACCCGCCCGGAGCCCCTCCGCGGCCTGGGTCCTTCCCAGTCTGCGAAGAGGGGTGCCCAGGCCAGGCACCTCTGCGACTCTGTGGGGCCGGGCCAAGCGCCCGCACAGCGCAGACCCGAGGCTGGGACCCCACCCCCGCCCGAGGTGCACGGGGCTGTTACTGAAAGCGCAGTTTTAGCACAGCTGGCGGCTGTCTGTTGCCTGGATAGGGGCTTCTCGTAGGAAGTGAATTAAATATGACCGGCTGGGCTGGAGTCCTGCCTCTCCTCCCACCCTTTCTCTCTGGCCACTTCATGGTCACTAACCCGAACCACTGCAATGATGACATTTGTTTTAAAAACACTTTTTTAAAAAATGCCAGAAACCACCCACACTTGAGGACAAACTACTTCGTCGATGCCTTGCTGCAGTGCAGGCAATCTCAGGAAAATCCCTTTCTTGTACAAAAGCTCACAGATTTGCCCCGCGCCTTGCGAGGGAGCATTCCGCTCCAAGGGGCTGTGGTT